TAATTCTTCTAGAAGCAGTACCTTTCTGGACAGGATATTACTTCAATTTATTTTTTAACTGTCCTGTTGGACTCTGGATTAGTGTAATGCCAATTTATATTTACTACTAGGCATTTGAATCCACAATCTGATGACTACTGTGCATTCTGCTAAACAAATGGGATCACTCACCACAGTTGTGCTCATCACTGCCATCTGAACACTCCTGGGTGCCGTTGCAGTGTGCAGAGGCTGGAAGGCACGTGCGGTTGGAGCAGACGAAGCCATTACACAGAGTTTTCTCTGAAAACACACAGAATAAAGTAAATACAATATTATTGCTAACAGACAACCATTGCTTTAATGTTCTTTAGTTCTGTAGCTGTTTATGACTGCTAAAATGTCCAGCCTTGTTATAAGGTAAATGTGTGGGTCTATGTCTTGTGTGTCCTGTGTGTGCATACACACAGTTAATACTAAAAGTTGTTGGTTGAAGCTTTAAAAAGCTAAATTCTGAGCTGATATTCACATTCTTAGAACGGATGATTACCTGACCTTCAAAGCAGCTTAATTGTAGCTCAATTTTTTTGTATCCTTCAACACAACATTTTATCAAGTCAGTTGTATAGTACTGCATACCATAATACTACACTAATAAAATGTTTAGCTTAAAATCATGTGTGGACCATGTGTTTACCAACTATGGCTCGCTAGGCAGTGTCTTTTTTGCCACTGTCTTTATAATATTGGGATTGTGAGTCGTATAGCTCTTGATATTTCTCTTTCTCAACAACTAATCTCTCCTCCATTGTTTTTACAAATGAGCAATAGGAGGGCAGGAGAGAGAGCTGTCACAGAAGCTGAGAAGGAGAGTTGCTACTTGGGTCGAGATGTACAAACAGGGATCGTTTTTTCAAGTGCCGCAACGCTTTAAATAGGACAATGGCGTGAAGTGACACAGGCACCAGCAAGCATCTAGCCACCAACGATGAGAGGGATATGCATAGGTCAAAATAGGGGCAGTTGTTCTGATTCAGTGTTTTATTCTTCACTAGGACTGGTTGGTGAGTTTATTCTAAATTTACACGATGAGTTCTACAATTACATGCTGTCAGTACATACCGGCTGATTTTAATTTACATCAATCAACAATCACATTTTACGAATATGTGGCCAACACTAGTAGAGCCTGTCATGGTGACACTGTTAAGTATGCAACTGTCTCTACTTACCACAATATTGGGGGTCTTCGTCTGAGTCATCCTGGCAGTCGTCATCACCGTCACACGTCCACCGCTGTGGTATACAGTGACCTGTGTGACACTGGAAGCTACTGGCCTCGCATGTATGGTGGCCCACTAGGGACAAACAGAGAGAGATGAAAGGCTTGAAAAGCTGGAAAGGCTTGGAGCTGCAACACACTCTACCATTAGATAGATTTGTAGATTTGTATTAAAATAGTGACATAAATAACCATACTGTTGGCATGATTATTCCTGTGACTGTGCCAAAAGACAATGTTGGTTTTTCTTATGACTGATGACATTCTATTTCCACTGTAACGGATCTTAGAGCTTTATTTTTTATGATGTATCATGTAGTCAGTAACACAGTTGTCACCTGTGCAGTTGGCCTCATCCGACCAGTCTCTGCAGTCATTGTCTCCATCGCAGCGCCATGCCTCCCGGATACAAACACCTCGTGCACATGTAAACTCTCCTGGGCCACACTGGTGGGACTCTGACAAATGCAAGAACTTGTTGATTAATGTTATTATGGATTGTGCATTTGTGCTGCCTGCAGTTAAGAGGTCTTGAGAAATTAAACCTTTGTTTAGCTGACATGAAAATCATTTACACTTTTTATTTCTTTTTGATTTTGGAGTAACTCAGAAACCCCTGCAGCACTGGCAGTTTAATGAGAAAACCACCAAGGGATTCAGTATGCCATCAAATGTAGGAAACATAACATACATAATCTAGCCTCCCTTTTCCGGTCATTAGTTTATACTAGAACCAAGCTTTTAATGATGTTACTTTTCAATTTAATTAACACTTTATTTGGGCAAAAACCTTTGATTTAGTTTGTTTTGTTGCTTATTATCATCTGTACATATACAATACAAATCTTCAAAGTGATGGCAGATAGAGAACAGTCACAGCTTACCACAGTGCTCCTCGTCGCTGTTGTCTCCACAGTCGTCTTCGTGGTCACATTTGAAGGCCAGGGGGATGCAGGAACCTGAGGCCACGCAGCGAAACTGGTTGGACGGGTCACAGGTCGTAGTGGCTGAAAGTGGACAGGACACAAACATACATGTGAAGTTCTTTATGTAGAAAGTGCTTCTGAGAAGTGATGTAGCTGAATACTTACGGCACTCCTGTTCGTCACTCATGTCTCCACAGTCGTTGTCGCTGTCACACTTCCAGATGCTGCTGATGCAGCGGCCGTTAGAGCAGCGGTACTGGTTAGCCAAACAGCTGTGCTCTGATTGGAGGAAAGAAAAGAACCCATGCGGCCACTAATAAATCAAATATGAAACTCAAGCAAGATCATATATTTTACAGCACGAGATCATCATGATTCTGCAGTATGTGCTTTTGTCTCACCTGTCTTGACGCAGGTGTTGTTTTGGAGCTGGTAGCCGGTGGGACACTGGCACTGCAGCTCTCCGTTGGGCATGGTTACAGTCGGAGCGCCGTCTGGGCAGACACAGGTGTGTCGGTGGCCGGGCTGAGGAAGACACAGCAGGCTGCAGGGCTGGTCGGCACAGGCATTATGGCCTGGTGGACAAGAGATCAGGACCTCAGTGTGAGCAGTAATACAGTGTTGTTTTCATTAGTTCTGAAGCCCTGAAGCAGTAATCCTGATGGGTAATTTCTACCTGTAATCTACAGTTTGCCTTGATTAAGATAAGAGTAGTAATATGTCATTGATTCATTTCTCACTTTATTCTGCTAAGCGTTCAAACTTTCTGGACATGCCTCCTCACCTCTGTTCTTCCCCTTATAGAAAATCTTAAGGTCCATAACTCCGGTCAGTCTGCCAACAATCAGCTCATTGTTCTGGGAACCAGCTTTTGGAGCTTTGAAAATCCCCATTCTGGACCAGTCGTCCCAGTACAGGTCATTCTGAAAACAACAGACATGAAAAGTCAACATATTCTACAATCCAATCCAAATTATTTCTGATAGTTTATTTTATATTCAGTCTCACCTTGAAGACCGCAATGGCGTACGGGTGGGGCAGCCCCTCCATGAGAACGCTCCTCTGGCCCCCAGTGAAGTCGGCCCTCTCGATGCGGTCGCTGTAGGCTTCGGTCCAATACAGCCAGTGGTCGTCGGCTGTGATCCCGTTGGGCCAGCGGACACCCTCAGACACGATGCAGGACACACTGGTTCCGTCCATGTAGCTCCGGTAAACGCCGGCCGCTCTGTCTCCCCAGTCAGTCCAGAACATCAGACTGTGGGACATACATAGGATAAATTAAACCTGAAGGTATTATTTGCCATAAAGGAAAAAAACACATCTAATGAGCTAAGCATTAATACAGACACTTTAACCTGGTTGTCTGTTGTAAGATCTTGCCACTTTGTGACACAGGTTTCCACTACCTACAAGGGGTAATTTATGTAATAAATTATCATGGAGATTTAATATTAAATATTTGATCTGTACAATGTCAGATAACTACACCCTGGTCTAAAGTGCCTTTTTACTTACAAATACACACATGGCTGGCTATAAAAATGGCCATATTCGCCCCTAAGAGAGAGCAGACAGCAGAGAAAGAGGAAGCGAGTACAGTAAGGCAGACAGAATTTTTTTTGGACCAAAATAAAAAAGGAACTAGGGAACGAGTGGAAAAAAAGAATAACACAGAGGGGTATCTTTGTCAATAAGCTGAACTCATCATTAACAAAAGCAGAAGCATGTTTGCAGATGTGGAAAGCAACTCTTTGTCATGGTGTATGTGAGTGAGTGTGGCAGTTTCAGGCATCCACTGTAAGAAATTTTTTTGTGTGGACATTTAGTCTGGTCATCCCTTCCTCCAATGTCTGCCTGAGGGTTGATATGAGAATGACTGTTGGTCTAGGTAAAGGTTGGGATTAGGCCTATAGATGTAGATGTTAAAGCCACAATCCATGCTTTTCTGACCACAACAATGAATAATATTCATACAGAGCTAATGTTTTATTTCTTGTTTGAATGTATTGGATTGGATTTTCAATTCCATTTTTACAAAACATACTCATACTTAAATACAATACAAGGAGTTTTAAACAGTCTCAGTTTAATACTGATGCCTCTCTATGACCTACATAAACACTATGTATGACTATTTATATACAATTATTCTAATGTCTATATAATATATATACATTATAATATATACATTATACTATATAAAAGATTGTGCCTTTATACTAAGATTAAGGGTAAGAGGGTCCTCACTGGTATAGAATTACAAATGTGTGTGTGTGGTTACCTCTCTCCAGGCAGCAGAACCAGAGCTCTGGGATGTTCCAGTATAGAAGAGTTGAGCAGAGTATGACGCAGGTCGCCGTCAGGGTTAGACACCTTCAAACACAACAACAGGTTCATCACTTTTAGTTTAAGCCTCTGATAACTTTAACATTTTTCGATTTGACACAAATCTGTTTTTTTCAGTTCTTCAAAGCTGACTTCAAATGTGCAGCAGTCATTAGAGCAACAAGTCCTTAAAACCAAACCAGCAGAGGTTTTACAGTGAGCCCACATTTGTGAACTTCATACTCTTCTCATGAGTAAGAAGAGATTGCAGATTATTGAGAAACAAGTGTGCTCTGAGACTCAAACAGATGTTTCTAAAAGTGTTCAGCTCTCAGCACTTTTGCATCTTCTGACTGAATCTCTGTTGTTTGAAGTTTAGTTTCTCTCCTGCATCTCCATTTGTACTTTCAGATATCTGCTTTATTTTACCATTTCATGTCTGCACTCAGCTGTATAGGAGTCGTGTTAAGTTACTGCTTCTGCTTCATAACAAAAGCTTTTAAATAACAAAAGGAAATAAAAAGGATTAGTTCAACCATGTTTAAAGGACAGGGCGCAGATGCATCTGCAGCAGTACATGTATCGAAACTGACGCTGTCTTCTAACAGTGCTATCACATATACAAACACACACACAACACTTCTGTACCTCAATCTTCTGAGCTCCGGCGTCAACCCAGTACAGCAGTCTACTGATGGGGTCGAAGGTCAGAGCTTCCACGTTCTGCAGATCTTTCCTCACTACAACCTCCTGACCTGTACTGCCGTTCAGACACAGACGCTGCAGAGAGAGAGAGACAGATAAACATACTGCTGAGCAGTTACATTCACTTCAAAAAGGAGCAAAACATTTTAGCTTGTGTCTAAACCATAAGCTCCTCTTCAGTCTCTGCACTCATCTCGACCAGCCCTGCTTCTCTTGTGTTTGGTCCAGGCTGACCTGAGGCCAAGACCAGGGGGGGGATTTCTTCTCACTTACCTGTATGGTGTCCAGTGAAATGTCAGCCCAGTACAGGCAGTTCCTTTCGTAGTCAAAGTCCAGAGCCACAGCCTCCCTGAGGCCGGCCAGAGGCAGGGCCTGGTCTGTGCCTGTGGCCAGGTCGTAGCGATGGATGGAGTTCCTCACGGCGTACAGGATGAACTCGTTACTCTCTGAAAGAGAACAGGAGACGAGACTGATGAAAAAAGACACTTGGATCTAATCACTACCAATACCGTTTGGACTGAAATAATATATTTAGTGTAGTGTGTAGTAAACCAAGATTGGAAAAAGTATATTGTATCAGAGATTTCAACTTGTTTTAATTTATGATATTAATGCTTCTTGAATATAAACGTCTGTCTTCTGTCTTATTGTCAGCCTGATTTTTGGGACAATATGAAAATTTCCTGTCACGATCATCTTCAAAATAACTGATATTATCATGATAATCCTAAAAATATGCTTAAAACTCCTAAAAAAAACTATAGTGACTATCTAGAGCCAGTGGCGGTTCAACATGGCAGACTCCATGGAAGGTGACCCGCGCTGTCAGTAGATGAAATCTTACACACTGGACCTTGAACCTTACATTCTGTTAAAAAACAAAAATTGTTTTATTGCATCACAGACAGGACACCTCTGATAGGCCCTTCATCTCCCTGACTGGGACAAGATTTTGGAATGACTGGAGAGTCATTGGACAGTCTCAGTCCACCTTGTCCCCTTGTTTAAAATAAATTAGGAAATAAATATATGACCGTACATTAGACAGCGTTTTCAAGTCACTCAATTCTCTACAATCAACTTATATAGTGTTTTTATGGCAATAAAATCGGATATCGTCCCATCCCTACCAACCAGTCTTCATCCTCCCAAACACCTCAAGGCCAGAGGTGCTATAAAGAGCCAACTTACTTAGAGTAAAAACCTTCATTCTGCTTACAGTGAAGTGTCAGTGTAATATTGAACAACAGTTCTAAAGTGTTGAGAGCAGCCAGTCACAGACAATAATTAAGATGCTCCATTGTCCATTATTTAAAAAAATCTTCACATTTTTTGTCTAAAAGGACAAGTTTTTAATATCCTAAGTAGCAAGTAAAATTAACAAGAACCTATTATATTTATAAAATATAAATATATAAATGAAGATGAAATAATGAAATCAAAATGAAAAGCACACTGCTGCTGGTAGAGGAGGTACATCAGAAAATACAGATGATATGTGTGTTTGGATTGGAAGCCACCACATTCTGATTTATACACCTATTATTCACCATGACTGATGATTATAACAGAGAGCAGGTTTACCTCCGACAGGACAAGGCAGCATCTCTCCATCCAGTCTGGACTCCACGTCTCCTCCACTACAGCTGTCTCCTGGTACCTTCCTGTAGCTGCAGCAAGATACAAAGAGTTTACTACAGTTCAACACTTGGTGGCGCCCTCACCAAACACATCGAATGATGGCAGTGGCAGTTTGCTCCATAGCAGTAATAAACTAAAGAGAACAAAGGCTGGTCCTTCTTTTTCTATTCTGGGGGAACTCTCAGGTAATTGTCCACAGTGCAACCAGACAGGGTTCACAAGAAACAACAAGGAACAGATTATTAACAGTGGAATTCTATTTTTTACTTCTCAGGTTTCATTCTTACCTGTTATCTTGCCATGTTTTATGACAAAAAAAAAAAAAAGTGTCACATAATAGTGTCTATGGATCGAGATTTGGTCAAATTAAAAGTGAGGCCTGAAAGCATGGCAGTTCAGAGACGTCCATGACTTGAAAATATAAGAAAAGTACAACGGGTCAATAAAATGCACAGGAAAAAAAGCTTACCATATGGAAACCTGCTAGTGCTGCAGATGCCAACATTATGCTAATAAAGCACACAAAAGAATCCCTGGCTGCACATTTCTGCACTGTAACGTCAAACAGCAGCAGCTTACCCTTTGCTGCGGCGGTAGGTGGTACCGACAGGACACGGCACTGGAGGAGCGTAGAGGTTACCTGAGAACTCGGGGTCAGGCACACACACCTGAAGAGACAGGTCTTCGCTCAGCTTGAAGCCGTAATCACTGCAAGGAGGAGGAGGAGACAGGTTGGGAGTAAACACAGGGAGGCAAAAAAAAAAAAAAACGGTTAGCTTTTGGCCTGTGATGAATGGCAGCACCTGATGTGCATTTTAAAACAGACTGATTATGAGTTGTGATGGGAGCTCAAGGAGCAATAACAATGTGCAGAGTGGGCTTAAACCAATGTATTGGTTTGCCAGTATTGAAATTTAATTAAGAGTCAGATAATAGCCAGCCAACTCCATCGACCTCTGATATGAAAGAAGTCCCACTCACACCAAAGCTGATGAATATAGATTTTTACTGTGTGGGAGGATTTGCCTCACCTCGTCTTACAAAGCTATTTACCAATTAGTAATAAATGTAATAACAATCGTATGGTCAGATTTGTGGCACAAAATATAGTTGTTTCAGGACATTTTCCAGGAGTTCATCTTGACAATTCAGGACAGCACTTACAAACTGTCTAATTAACCAGTAGGCCTACATTGACTTCAACTCCAGTTTTATGCCTCTTTTTTTCATGATAAAGTGTCTCAGGTTCATTACAACTCCAAAAAGATGGGTGCATTCCATGTGACTCCACATCTGGTGGGAACGACTAGACTGACTGACATGGCCAAAATACAAAGAGAACGTTTCCATGACTGGAAAACTAGTCTTTAACTTTCCAGATTTACCAGGTTTTCCAGGACATATGGGAACCCTGTGTATATATAAAAGAAAATATGTACCCAAAAAACCCTTTCACAGAAGGTAAAGTGAAAAGGATTATATGTGTGAGCAATTCACCAAATTCCCTGCACATTGGTTTTTTTGGTAGTTGTGTTTGAAATAAATTATATTCAATCAAATGAATTTGTCACAGATCAAGGATGATCAAAGGGATATGATACACCTGATTCCATTGCTGTGTAATAAAGTAACAGAACACATAACAATGAATACACCAAATACTCAAGTGAGGTATTTCTGCATTTAGATTAGGGTCTAACCCTAACCCTAACATTTTTGTTATTAAGAGGTACTTTATGTATACAAAAACAGGGTTTCCACGCCTTATTAAACATCCAAATTCAATGACTTTCCGAGGACTTTAGTTTGAGACATGGATAGAGGTAAATTACTGTTACACTGAGTATTTCTAGAATCAGAACTAGCAGGCTTTGCAGAAGCTCACAGACAGCAATTAAAAAGAGAGTAAAATAAATAAATAAAATATCAAATATCAAAAAAACTTAATGCACTTTTCAATGACCCATGTCTATTTATGTCTATATTCAAAAACTTTCAAGGCCTTGATTTTCCCACCTCAAATTCACAAACTTTCAAGGATTTCAAGCACCCTATGGAAACATGCAAAACAGTGTGTGATTAGCTCATTCTGAGTTGGAAATGGAGCTTCTGAAGCTATTAAACACTTCCTATTGGCAGCTATTTGCAGAAATGGGTTTCTTTAAAAAAGTAGTCCGACAGGTGCTTCCTTTACTGACATGTATTAACACACAACTGTTTCCATCGTACAGACAACGAGCACTGATGAAATGTGTGGGTGCCTAACCATTCGTAGTCCTGGCGTGTGCAGGAGCAGTTAGAGATGGTGACGGGTCGGTCGAAGTCCTCTCCGTTAAAACACGTGGCGTGGGGAGCTCGTCTCTTGAACGTTATCTCCCTGCCCAGCAGACACTCGTTGCCGTGCTCGTCTGACGGTGACCAGTGCTTGTAGTCGGCCTCAGAGCACGGCACACCTGGAGACAAAAAAAAGGAGAGAAACTATAGATATTTGACATTGACAAAGAAACTCAAGAGTTACTCGCTAATGTTCCTGGCGGTCCATTTGTCAATCAGACCTCCATTTCTTTAGGTAGAGGACTCGAGCAATGAAGCGCTCCATCTAGTAGCCTCAATTAAAAGGTTCACAGCTCTTTAAAGCACCAGAGAATACATGCATTTCTCCCTTTTTCTAGCCCAGCTAATACAGAATGAAATGTAGTCAGTTACTGATTACAAATTACATGGCATTTTTTGTAATTAGTAATGTAATCCATTGGATTACAACTTTTTTTATCTTCTTTAGTTATTACTTAAAAAACAAACTTTAACAATATCACACCTTATACTAACAAAATGGACAAAATTTGGGTTACAAAAATATTCTTAAAAAAATGTTCAATGCAAATGAAATGCATTTAGTATAATCAGCATTTACAGTTGGTCAAATCAAATAACATCAACATCACAACAACAAATAACATCAACATCACAACAACATTTAACATCACATTTTTGTTGCTAGCATGGTCGTTAGCCATCCATTGTTAATCCCATGATGCCTTAGGTTGAGTCTGTCCCTATTCCCTTATCAAGATATATGTTCCAACAAACCATATTGTAAAGACGTAATCAAAAATGTAACGAGGTAATCCTTTGACAACGTACCTATAATCTAACTACACATCTTGTCTCAAATGTAATCTGGGTTGATCATAGTTATTTTAGTTGAATCTGATTACATAACCCTGAACAAATGTAATCATTTACTACCAGCACTGTATTTAATGTAGCATTGAAGATAATAATTAAAAAATCAGGATCTCCATAAATTAAACCTTCTGATGAGCGCCACAGCGGGTATATCAAGAGGTATAAACTTATGAATAGCTGTTGTGAGCTATTGTTGCTAAGAGCTGAGGATCTCGAACATAAAAGCTCGATATTCTCTCCCTCCCTCCTGCTCTCCAACCTACCCAGAACGTCGGAGGTGTTGACCTGCAGGATGAGCCAGCTGTGTCTCTGGTCGGCATAGGAGCCGAAGACGGTGAAGATGGTACTCTTCTCCCCGGGCTCGGTCAGCAGCTGGTAGACATATACATCCCTGTCTGAGAACTTAAAGTCGGTCCAAGTCTCGCCTTCATTGGTGCTGAACCTGACAGGGACATGGCCAGTGTTCAACACGTTATGTTATTAAGCAACAATGACTTTTCAGCTGTTCCCCATGTACTGTTTATGTCTGTTCCTTTTTAATAAATCTGTTATATTAATTTCCTTTCATCTGCGGTCTACCCATTCATTCTATGACATAGCAACAGAGAGGAAGATGCCATCATCTGAAAAAACACCCATTTAATATGGGGGTAATATGGGAGTAAACCAGGCATTGAAATTGGGTGATTTATCCCAGTTATACTGACATAATATATAAAGGCAAAACCAGGTTAGTAAGTAACCAGGGTATGGGAACTCAGCACATAAACGAGGTTGTATGTGTGTGTGTGTGTGTGTGTGTGTGTGTGTTTTCACATTCATATACTGCATCCCGTGCACATAATTATGAATACCTGCAATGTTGGCATAGAGGTGTTTTATGACACCTCTGTTTACTGAGAAAAAATTGTTTTTTTACTTTTTTTCTACAACACACAGCTTCACGTTCACAGAACCTGCTCCTGCTGGCTAATGAGCACATCCACTGGGGCTTTATGTGCTTCGCTCCCCCAGACTTCCTCAAGTTGTTTGGAGGTTTCAAATGGAAGCCTTCCACTCACAGAGCAGTCTCTCAGGGTTTTATGTTTGTTAGTTTAGGTAGAACCAACAGAATGATAGGGCTTTGTATTGGCAAGAATCTGGTGATGGGTTACATATCACGATACAGGTGTTACGATTCAGTAAATTGTGATATATTGCAATACTGTAAGCTAGGCGATATATTGCAAATTCTTTTTAAACATCCAATCTTAGGAAAACTTTCATAGTATAAAGAACATAGCAACAAGCAACCAGAACAGTGGAATCATTTGTATTCATCTCAGTCGCCAAAATCGATAGTGTTGAGAATCGATACATCATACATAGCGATACAATATTCTTTGATATTTTTTTACACCTACTGAATGACACATTTAGTTTCTGACCTCAAATCTGATATTTTTCTGTCCTGGAGTAACATTTAAACAGGTCATTCGGACTTACTTGAGAAGTGTCGTGGGGCCTCCTTGTGCGATGGCCATCAGGATGCCACCGTGGTCACCCCATGTGTAGAAATGAGGGCCTGCCAGTGCCTGGACAACAGGAAGCACGGTCAGAGCATAATGCACGTAACAGGCCATAAAAGATCAGTGTGAACAGCACAAATCACATGGAATCTGATCTTTTTGATTCTGATTTGAGACCACCTTCGTATGTGGTCCAACTCAGATACAGGTCTGATACTTTGCAATGTGACCTCAGTGTAAAAAGTCATATCAGAATTGAAATGTGACTTTGATGTCACTATAAACTGACATTTGACCTCAAACACACACACATCCCTCTCAACTCCACTAACTGAAAATAACTGAACTGAATTCCCTTCCCTTAATCCTTCATTCAATTGTTTCCCCATGAGCACACACACCAGAAACACACATTAACTGAAAGACTAGCAATCCTTATTTAATTTATTTAAGGGACATTTGATTTTCTTATCAGGGCTCAGGAATTTGAATGCAGTTTTTGTTGGTTTAATGTGCATTTTGTGAAGGAGATACTATTTAACCCCAGCCACTTGATTTGATTGTTATTTGATTGGTATTACAGCTGTGTACTGGCAAGAATCTGGCAATGTGATACATATCACAATACAGGGGTTTCAATTCAATATATCTAGATTCATAGATAGATAGATTTTCATCAGCAACTCCCATGATGCCATGCTACTTACCGATGTCATAAATTATTGTGTTGAATAATTGCATACACTGTGCAGGTTGCTCGTATTGACCAACAAACAGTTACGGCCCCAGTCTTCAGTTCCCCTCAGCTCTATGGCTCATTTCAGTGTCTTTTAGCTCGTTGTTTTGACAGCTGTTTTCAGTGAAAAAACCAAACCTGCTACTAATCAACTAACAATGAACTATATCCATGGAACAAAAGCAAGCTAAAGCCTGATTCACATTTAGCTATTGCTATATGTGTTTTCCAGAATTGTAGAAAGGGTGAGTCCTAGCAAAAAGTGCAGAAAGGTTTACAATGCCTGGGTACATATACAGGCACTGAGAAGTAACGCATTGTGACATGTTAACTCTCTTTGATAGACAAGCTGCTTTTATGTCATCTGTGTCAGATTTTGTACTGACCTCTTTCCACCGGGCTCCAGCGCTGCTGGATACATACACATTAGGCTTGTTGGCCAAGTTCCTGCCTACAGATCCTGCAATCAGAGGACAAAAAGACATTTTAAACACACACACACACACACACACACACATTACAGGGGTTTTCCCTGAATATTACAGACTTGATGTGACCACTGTTTTTGCTTTCACATATGGAAAATCTGTAACCCAAGAGCTCAAACCATAGCATTCTGTATCGGTTCACGCATGTAGCATTTGTATGCACTAACCAATACTTTCCTTTGACAGTATGTTGTTAAATAATAAGGCAGATCACCAGGAATGATATGCTCAGGCAATTCACAAATAAACATAATGAAATCAAAGATGCAGAAATGGAAACTTCCCATTTGTAAAGAACTGAGAGTCTGAGAGTCTGCAGCCTTGTCAGTGGACTTCAGAGGCTGCAATGCTCATTGTAAAGCAAACCAAATGCCGTTAAAAGATGAGGTTCTTGTCTGATTTTTAGCAGTCATGGTGAGTGGGGGTGACAGTGGTGTTAGAGTTAGTCTGTGGTAGTGTTATGTTGTAAGCATATTGTCACCAATGGTATTACAAATGATGTGTACCTAATGTTGCACAAATGCATCCAGTAGATATTGAGATGCTGGCTGCTGGATGAATAAAAATTTCCCCTGCTGGTGAGCTAGGGGAAAATTCAGGGGATCACCAAAGTTTGTAGCATTCATGAATGTCTGTACATAAGTCACGGCAGTCCATCTAGTACTTGTTGAGATACATCAGTATGACCCACAGTCTTTACATCTCTTTCATAATTCTGTAGTGCTTTTAATGCCTTAAGCCATGCAACAAACATAGCTAGAAAATACCAGTGACTACAAAATTATTAGAATTATGCATTTGGCATTGTGTTAAATAATAAGCCAATAATTTGCTATATTTTGCCAATTATTATTACTATAATTAGAGAGCCTTCTTTACTTCCCTTGGCAAAATACAGGAAAGACTCAACTTTTCAGTAATTAAGTGATGTAATGTACATAACTAAGTTATAACTGAAAAACATCTTCAACGCCTTGCAAAATATATTTTTATTTTGACATCTTAAAAGGTCCAGTGTGCAACATTTAGGAGAATCTATTGTCAGTAATGAAATATAATATCCATAGCTATGTTTTCATCAGTGTATAATCAGCTGAAAATAGGAATCATTGTGATTTTGTTACTTTAGAATGACATATTTTTATCGACGGACACTCTTCTAGGAGAAACTATGGTGACCACAAAATGTGTGAAAGACGCAAACACACTTATCTACAGCCAGTATTTGTCCGTTCTGGGCTACTGTAAAAACACAGTAGTACAGCTCAACATGGCGGACTACATGGAAGGCAACATGTGGCATTTAAAGATAAAAACGGCTCATTCTAAGGTAAAGAAAATACAATGATTCTTATATTCAGCTGATTATACACTAATAAAAAACATACCTATGAATATTATATTTAATTTCTGACAATAGATCCTCCTGGACACACACACTGGACCTTTAAGAAAAGACGAGACTCAATGTCCTTATTAGCCGTGCTAGCTGCATGGCTCCAGGGACAGCAATGTCAGTCGGTCCACTGCTTCGGCTCAGACTGAAATGTCAACGGTTGGATGGATTGATGAAATCTTGCAAAGACATTCCTGTTCCCCACAGAAGAACGGTGAAAATGTCTTTGTATCTTCAAAACTAATGCCATTCCCATCAGCCTCAGGTGTGCTTTGTGTTTATTGCCAGTTTATCAGCAGACGTTTCAATGCTAATGGTGAGCATGGTAAATAACATGGTAAATAACCTACACATACATACAATAATACCACACTGACATACGCACACACATCCATTACAATATGCATCACTCCCTTCATCCATCAAGAACAATGGAATTTATGGAGTGGATGATTAATACCAGCAGTGTCTGCCTTTGACACTGAAGAGCAGACAGCTGATTACGTCTGCAGACATCAATCGTGTTAATCAAATCTCATTTCAGGGTGAACGACTTCAAGAAGCGCAGATCAAAACATGAGTAACATGGTTGCTGTGTCTCTGTCGAGGGCTGTAAAAATGCCTCAGAAAATAATTACGCTCTGTCTCTGTGTAAAATGGGCTAATGACTCTCATTAAACATCATCACACCAGGAGCCAGAGACTGGAGACAATAAACAAATGTTCCAAAGAAGATTCTGCGCCATTGTACAAATATGAAACACTATGTCTGTGTTATCAGTCCCATCAGCACCACTGTTTAAGGAATAACTTATACCACCAGGCTAAAAAGCAGGGTTTTGCTGCCCAACTGCTGATAGGAAATATGTTCTGCCAAAATTCAATATCTTTAAACTTGTGGTTTTAAAAGAGTTTCATTGTGAGTCACTGTTTCTTCCAGGATTTTATTTTTGGACGAGTGGAAGAGCATTATCTTAGAAAAGTATATGACTGTGAGGGCAATAATAAAAAAAAAAAGATAACACTATGAACAACATTTTTGGATACCTTCGTAGAAAGGTGTCTCCTCAGAGTGAATTCAAAGTCAACTAGTGTAATTATGTTTTACAGTAGAGCTACCACATCATATAGAGAGATATGTATTGAACCAGGGTCCAAAATTAACATCCACCAAGCACAAAATGTGGGTAGATTTTGGGTTTGGTGGACAAATAAACTTGGCTATATGGGGGCAGGTGGCTGGTAAATCATTTGGAATCAGGTTTACATAGTTGCGGTTGTGTTTTTTTATGTGTATAACTGTCCACCATACCAGTCGTGACACCAGCCAATCAAATCAAAGCAGCTTACTAATATTTCTACACAATGTCTATGTTTTTGCCGTAAGAACCCCCTGTGTTACATGTTATCAGAGACATGGTGACATATTCCCGGTATTGATCCACCAAGAAGAATGACGAAGAGAAATTTCACAGATGTCTGCGTTTTTGCGAGAGGTGGCGTCCGAACAACACAGGAGCCCAGAGAGCCTGGCAACATGTGATCATTTCAGTTAGGTACAGTCTGTAATGATGCAATTTTATGGCCTGTAATTTTTTTTATTGTATTTTCTCAGTTCACCTGCCATTGGCAAATGAACTAAAGACAATTTTGGACCGTGTATTGTTGGTGGGTTTTTTTCTGATGTTCATATGTTTGGTCTCAAGGCTTTTATGTTTCCTCTGATGTTCTTTTATTTTGTCTGCTGCTTTTATGTTTTTCGTTCAATGTTTTTTCTGTTTTTTAACATTTTAGTCCAAGGAGAAACAAAATGTCACTACAGCTGTAGTCTGTTACAGTTGCAATCAAGGTTATTATAGTTAACTACAACTAAACTAAAATCTAAAACTAGTTCAGTCAGTCAACTCACATT